ATATATATATATGCGTATATATATACGCATGTTTTCAAGAAATATAAGGGGAAAAGAACTGCGGCAGCTCTGCAATAACGCATCGATCGACGCTTTTGCTGGATAAAAATGTCTCACTTCTAAACAAGCAAATTTCCATCGAATACTTTATGGCCTGGATTAAGCCTTTTCATCTTTCCCTGGTTTATTTACTCCCATGTGCTGTCTTTATAGTACATTATTTACTAACTATTAATACTTTCCGGTAAAATTTGCATATGGACATCCTTGACAATTAAAACACACAAGAAAAAAAATCATCCTCTCACGCAAATGAATGATGTAAGTAGAATCATCTATAACCCTATCTCGAAAGTTTATGCGTATGTAAGCTAATTACTCTACTAATTAGTGTTTTTCGGAAACAACTAATACAGCTAATGAATTTCAAGCAATCTTAAATTATAAGAAAAATGCCCACAGAACTTATGCTAAAAGAAATATTATAGTTCAGAAGATTTAACCACTAAAAACTACTATGACTTATCGAAATATCAAAATTAAAGTTAATTAAGGGAGATTACAGAAGATAGAATCAGCGAGAAATATCTACTTGTAATGCAATAAAGATTGTGATTTTAATTTGCACATCACAATACGATGCTTGAAATTAGATGTTGTAAGCATTTCACGTAAAATAATGTAGTGCGAAAAGCCGGGGTTTGCTACCACATTTCACTTCAGAGTAGGCAATGCATGGAAAGTCCTTTTTTTTAGACCTATAACAATGGTTGGAGCACTCAAAAAAAAAAAAGAAAATCGCCGTTGCGGAAGTGGAAAAAAAAAACTGAAAAAAAAACGTAAAAGATTATAAAAGATTTTTTAAGATCAAAAAAAAAGGGAAGGTAAAAAAGTGGGTTAAACATCATAAGTTTTAATGACCAAAATATTTGTTCCCAAAAACATTAATGTTATTGGCAAAATTGTAATTCATACTTTGGAGGAGTAGGAACGAAATTAAAACTCATTATTGCTCCTGCAAGACGTTCTGATCCAAATATTAATGGAAGCAACTTTCATCAGAACACATGTGACGGTTTTCATACGCATACAACAACATCTGCAAGAGACATAGTACTTCGTCAAATTCGAACCCAAGATGACTGATGTGAAACGCACATTCGCATATTATGTTTGGAATACTGCGGCTCATTGCGGCAAGCATAGATATTTGAAAACAGTAGGATAGGACTGTATTAGATTAAAAGTATGGCAATAACTTCTCACTTATTTTCGATATCAAGCAAATCCATTCCGAACAATTCCATGGAAATATTGTTTCTGCAGCACTATTTGTCTAGAACAGCTTCAACTTACATTATCACAAGTAGAAAGAATGATTAACCGTGTAGCATCTGTGAAGAAGACATTAAAATAAATGACCTACCAGGAATTCAATCTTATCGATATTGTTAAAATCCAGAATTACGGCACGAATCCATATAATAATTGTACCACTTAATCTAAAAATAGAGTGCGAAAACTGTGAAAGAGAAGCTAGTTTCCCCAGGAAAACCTGAAAAAATTATGGTTCTTCTTCATATGTTTGGCCAAGAACTTATTTTTCTACGCCAATAAGAATAAAACTAAACTGCTTATTCGAAGTGTATTTGGTTTCTCACGCACTGGTTGGGAAAAACAAAATATTACCATACACAATGTGTAATCTGCTTAAATGTATTTTCTGAATACTGACACTTATATTTCATGGTACACCAATTGTGTCGATTTTTAAAATCTGAAAAAAAAAACCACAACACCGTACTTCTGCTTCTTTTCACTTTGTCGACTCCAGTTTATCTCTCATTTCCGAAATTTCCTACAGAACTCCCAATCTTTTAGATACAAGACTTAACCAACTGACCTTTAACACCTAAGTGGCTTCAAATTGATCCTCTAATGCAATTACCATACAACCAAAGCTGAACTTACCTAGAAAAGATTTCTAACAAACCACTTGCAACATTCCTTAATGCGGTACCATTTTGCAACGACCTTGGTTAGTCCTGTCTTCGTATATTACAAAATATTTTGAAGGATCGCTCCTATATGTCCAGTAAAGATAGTATGAATAGGTTAGTTCATTTATATACGTATACATATATGTATACATTTCAGAAATATAATTCTGGAAAGTTGAACAGTCTCCATCGGCACATAGCGAAAATGAGTTTTATGCAAGGATGGATTGATTTTGGTTGTTAGGCGTGGAATAGCACAATTTTCCATTTTGCTTTGTGATGGAAAGAGAATAAGTTGCATGAAAACAAAGCGACACAAAGAAGAATGTTTGCAGTTATGTTCAGAAGAATGTTAGCAAAGTTTAGGAACATATTATGAAGAAGATTATGTCTCTCTTCATTTCTGGAAGTCAGAAAATGTTGCAATAGCCAAAGAAGAGTCAGAATACTCCAGGATTCCCTCTTTTCATATGTACTTCATACTTCATCGGCTCCTTTCCTTTCTGCTTCTGCTTTTAGTGTGCATTTGTTATTGGTATAACAGCGTAATGCTACTACCACGGTGTAAAAAAAATGTGATGAAAAGAGATGTCAGTCTGGCATTTCTTTAGATTCCATCCTGATCTATCATCTAAGTTTTAAGTGCTAAATGGGAAAAGCACATTGTTAGAAAGCACATGTTATCAAGAGGGCATTTTATGTATCAACTGAGGATAATTTTAGCATAAATGTTTTTGAAAGAGAATAAATTTATGATTTACAGCGAGCAACATATCAGCATTTATTTTAAAACCTATTTTGCTGATTGCAAAAGCTGTTGAGGAAATGAGAAAAAAAAACAAAGGAAGAAACAAAAACAGGTGACAGGAAATGGGCATCCGTCGACCTTCTACTTCAACGTTATCAACATCATGACTTTGTTGTCCTAGACACATCTCTGTTTTCTCTCTTTTACTTCCTTTTTATCGAAAAACTCAGAATTCATTAAGATGTACCGACGGAATTCCTAAGAACTTGTATATAAGCGCTTCGTTTTAACTTTACACTCAGCACGATACCTTTCGTTTTTGTATTTATTTGCGGCTGCATCTTTTAAAAATGAACTCAAGTCAATAATATCCAGAATTAATAGTATGGTAGTAACTCACTAAAACAATATGTGTTAGAAGCAGTTTAACCTTTTTGTTCGAATTTACTAGGGTCGAAATTTTGATTGTAATAGAAGAATTTAAAAATGTGCCAAGTTAACGGAGACACCGTAGAAGGATTAGACAATATCGAGAAATTTTCCCCCAAAATTAATCATAATCGAACGGTACTGTTCATTACGGTTGCTCAATTTTCAATGCAATGATCGGAGCAACTGTCATTTATGCTCAAATGGCATATCGTATTTGGCGTAAGAAAAGATGCAATTTTTAAACAAATTGGTGATAAATAAAGGACATTAAGGAATCAATTGCATTTTTCCATTCCATTGTTCATAACGTCTGCTTATTTATAATGGTCATAGAACAGAATTTCTTGCATCTTACTGGCTGTGATCCAAAAGTCTCTCTTGAAATCTTGAATGCTAATAAATTAAAATACCAATGAATGGGTTATTGAGAAATTACATTTGTGCATAGATTTATGTGCACAGTTGTGGGTTGCCAGCACTGTGACATGTCATCATTCTAGAATTCTGGATTTAAATTTGTTTCTCTTACTTCTCATTGGAATAATCTTTATATTCATTTTCTGGACAATCCATGAAACACCAAATTTTTTAATGCTCTAAATAAGATTTTGTTAATTCCATCGATTTTTACGTGAAACTGGCATGTGCTACTATGTTCATTTTCTTTCGACAGAATTATTCCAGTTATGAGATTAGTATCTGGTATTATGAAGTTTGTTTCTTTTTTTTAAAATTTAAACCGTATTTTCCGTATGCGCTACTACATAATACGAAATACTCTTGATCTACGCAATGTGAAAAGCCGAAAAAATGCTGATTAAAATGCGATGTAAAGAAATCAAATTCAAGTTTATGACTTGTAGGGTGAAAAAAAAAAAACAAAAGAGAGATAGGACATGAATTAGTGAGAAATCAAGGCGTGTTGTAATACTTCAAACTTTTCTGGTTTTTGGTCCAAGACTTTTGAACATTTATTTGGACCTTTAGGTTTTGAAATCGAAAAAATGTGCTAGAGATCGATCCATTCTTTTCACAAATTAATTTCTCCAGGTAAATTGGTTTATGTTCGCTGCTCATCTGCCAATATTGCTGTTGATCGGATTAACAAATGCGAGATGCAGATGGAATGTCATAATAAACTGAGGTTGTAATGCATTCTAAGCAGATTATTCTTTAAATAATTCTTTCTTGTCGCTACGAACAAGTAAATAATAGCATATTATAGTAATCGTAGACTTTGCAATCGATCCAATACCTCATTTTATGGAATTATTGTACTTTAAAAAATTTTTACTCATACGTTACCTTTTGTACATTTTTAAAGCTGTAAGAAAACAACTATAAAAAAAGTGCAGTCGAACAATATTCAGAGCTTGAAATATCACATTCGCCTGAAGAATTAAACTAAACTTTTGCGACCCATTATATGATTGTTGACAGTTTCTTTACAGATTTTTTGCAATGTTCCCTCAATCTGTTTGTGCATAATTACTGGGAAAAAAGGTTGAAGGTCACACAATTAAGACTCTTACTAGTGGTGTGTCTATGAGCTCATATTGCATATTGCTGAGGTAACGTCTAAATTAAGTAAAAGCAGTGTTGTAATAATTACCAAAACGGCTGATCAGATCAATATGTAAATCGCTTAATGAATATTGTTAAAATTCTTAGTTTCTCATATTCATCAGAGAAATAATCGTTCTTTTAAAGTTATTTCTTACAAAGGTAGATTAATAGAAAAAGGGGAAGACGTAGAAAGGTAGCATTCATGATTCAATTTATGGTTTATAACTTTTTTATATCCTGATGGCAGGAATTGCATTGATTCTGAGAATGAGATAAAAATTAATGTTGCATCCGATCCAATGCGCATTTATCTACAGAAAACATTTGTTTGGCCAGGACACTCCAACGATTTATCCAAATTTGTGGAAAGATGTTTTTTATTTTTTTTCCTTTCAATTTTTTAAGCTTTTTTCCTATTTTCTGTAGCATTTATTTGCACTTTTCAAACTATCAGTTAAAGTGTCAAATTTATGTTCATCTAACTGAATTTTAATTCAATATGCACAATTTTCTACAAATTAGATTGCTATTTCGTTAATTTAATGCAACAATGAATGGATGTTGATAAATGGATGAAATTCAGTAAACAGTTCTCAAATCTTAAATAAATAAATCACTTGAAGTAATTAGGTCAAAGTAAAGCTACTTGTATTACCCCGTTATTTGGAAAAAGGTGCAAAACATTAAAAATTTTGGTTGAATGGCGACATATGGTTGCACAACTGTTGTAGATACATATATTAGAACGTGTAGGGACATCAAAACCAATGGATTCGTATCACAGAAACCCCTACACTATCCATGCTTTCTTTCACGCAACATTTATAATTGCGCTCAAATGTTTTATTGCTATTCATTCGTTAAAATTCATACCAATCATAAACTTTCCTCCTCTAGTTCTTCGACTCTTCCTTGCCTCACATCAACCGATTATTGATGTTATTCGTGTTACTGATGCATTTTGGTCACAAATGTTGACTAACAATACAACACAATCTATGATCGAGTGGTACTTCGAAAAGCCATAAACCAGTAATTAACTGTAAGTCTTCTTCTGTCAATCCTTTCTATTATTGCCGACTTTTGACCGGAACTGGATAAATTACGGTTGTTTTGAGGACGTTGAATAAGAGCACCCATTTGCATAGCGTATTTATCAGACACTTCATGAATTAATTTAGGTATATGCAGTAAATAAATTCTGAACACAAAACTTTTATCTTGTCATTTACGATTCAGCAGGCTATCGATACTATCAATTCGATGTTTGTGTAAATATTTTGTGACAAGTATATGCTAAATCTTCACGTTCGTTAATCAGTTTTTCATTACTTCCGTTTTCGTTATCTCTAAAAATGATCATTACATCAAACAAATTTTGTTTTGTAACCGTTCTTCGTTTCTCATTTATCAGTTCTACTCAACACTTCCAACGCTTTTTTACTATCCATATTTCTGATGAAAAATTTCAATTTCCCTTTTAATTTGAATTTTTTTTATTGCAAAAACCCGTAATTTACAATGCCGGAAAAAACAACATGAAATTTCAAACTAAATTTCCTAAATCATAAAACAAATAATTCGCTCATTTCCTCCTGGAAATTGCAGAGAGTCAAGAGAGAGACGGTCTAAAAGGTACAATCTTCTCAATAACGGGAGGGGTGCCATTAATTTGACAGCTGCATTCGTCAAGGAAGGGTGGAGAGCAAGAATGAGGAATGGACGACAGAGCTCGATACGGGAGAAACGCAAGATAGAAATCACGCGTGCCTCATTTTGCTCCTACTTGTGATCATTCTAATTTGATTACCATTTCATACAGTGACGTTATGAGCTTACTCATTATCAATAGTCATCTTACTGGAAATCCCAGATTTCAATGATCGCAGGGAGTTTTAATATTTCAGCAGTTAAAATGGGATTAACTTTTCTTTAATTCATTCAATACTTCTACCACATTATATCCATATCACTTAATTTTTCTCACATTTTCCCGTTTTTTCGCTATTCCAGCCAAGCTCCAGTGCCTTCTAATGCCCTTTAAGAACTCCATCCACCAATTTTGTTTATTTCAACTTGATCTTTTAGAAGCTATACAAGTTTTCCTGAGTTTGGTTAGTTTGGGCCAAATAATCCTTCCCTTTAAAATGACTGAACGAAAAAATATTGTTTCCCATCTTTTGATCTAGGTGAAGTACATCTTGGCAACTTTATTTCTTCATACTATCTCTAAGTATTATTCATATCTAGACGCTTTACTTTCATAATTTGTTTGCTTTTGCAACAATTTTTCGTTTTCATAGGTCTATACCAAACATTTGTTATTATTTCACGACAAGGAAAATTGCACAAAGTTGGAAAAAAGTTTCAGTGACTAAAAAAAAGCCCCAGCCATATTTCAATCTTGAATTCATTTCACAATTACCAAATTGATCAGCGTGAAAATCGATTAATTCTGTTTGCAGCAATTTTTTCTTATCGACAGGAAATTCCTATGAAGTTAACTGATTGAAATTATTTATCTCTCCTAACTATTACAAACGCTCCTTCTCCCATACTAACCGATTAATGATTCGTTAATTCATATGAATAATTAACCATTGCTTGGAAATTGATTTTACTGTAGGGAACAAACAGTGATGTTCACACCTTGTCTTGGAGTCATCTTTCAAAGAGTTACCGATAAGAAAATTACCGGGCACAAACTGTTTCAGAGCTTCATTCAGGTTATCCATCAGTTTATTTTTATTGTTTTCAGGTTAATTCTACCGTTTAAAAAATTAAAGGATGTGAAAGTAATCTTAAAAGTATATTATCTCAGGAAAACAAAGCATGCTTCTGGAATACGAATTTAGTGGAAGCAATAAATTCTACGAAATATGTTGGTTATATCAAGCCATCGACACTATTTATAACTTCAATGAACGAGAGATATATGCAAACATTGCGCGATGCTTGGGTTCTACGGATTTTGAAACCAGCGAAAGGATACCGAATCGAAACTCTTGGTAACATTTTTAGCCAGTGATCACTGATTTTCCTTAAATATTGAAAGGTAATTGAAATTTGAACATTTTTTGCGTTTAAAAAGTAGATGCTTGGACTTTCTTCAACAGTTTCCAATTTTTATTCGGAGTGAACTTCCGCAAAAGAATGAAAGGATTTAAGCATAAGATTGAAATGACTAAAAATCTGACAAGATAATGAAAAGGCGCTACAAGATGGAATGAAAATATGGATAAAGGTGATACAGTACTTCTTATAGTAACTACCATCGGAAGATTGGGTAGAGAGGAACGAGAAGAGAGCACCTGTCGAAGGATAAGACGTCTGAAGGAGGCTTCGTTACAGGGGACTTAACGCACCTGTTAACATGGAATCCGGGATAAACAGGAACAGAGAATAGAACCGTAAAAGCTTCACTTTTGCGCAAATTTACATATGCAAACAGATGTCCACAACCACACAACGCTGTTACTATTCTACCTTGCAACGTTTCCAATTAATTTAAATTCATTAGGAAACCTTCTTTACTTTACCACCGATCTTATCTCTAAGGAAATCGGAGATAAAATCAGTATCAAAGGTAGGACTAAAATTTCGGGGTCAATGCACTCTTTTTCGAGAGTCTTCTTGAAATTTTCATTTTCACTGAAAAAGCAATCAATAATTTGGACTAAAAAAAAGAAAACGAAGAAAACAATTTGCAACAAGCACAGTCGAATAAGTTGTGCTCAAAGAAAATCTACTCTCAAATATTTAGCTAATTTCAACATCAGGATATTCGTAAATAAAACTCAAGAAAATTTGCAACTCGTCAGTGTTTTCTCCTTGCTTAATTCCTATCTCCCAAGAACAATACCAATGTTTCTGTGCTCTTCGAAAATTAAGACTGTCTTGTGCGGATGGATATTTGAATTCGAATATCAAATCACGAAAAATTGAAGGAATGGTCGTATTTCAGGTGATGTGGAAAATATCGGAATGCATAAGATTGATCAGATGCATTTGGTACCATTGATGGATATTATTTGTAATGTGGTATTCAAAATGAATCAAAGTGGTCGTCCAGCAGTTTTTGAAGCTTTGCTGGATGAGATTCGTGAAGGATATCCAAAAATAGAACCTCCATCAACGAGGACACTTCGGCAAGCTATTCAGACCCTCTTGAAACAAGAAATCTTGGAATATCACCTGGAACAACTGTATATCTGTTTTCCTCATACAGCTCCTTATCACTCCACCAAAATTCGTCCCAAATGTACCGTAGAATGCCAAACTGGACAAAGTGTCATGAACGGCTACGCTCCGACAAATTCATTGAAAATCAAAAAAGGTCTTTAAACACATAGCCCATTACTCAAAATTTCTGGAACAAATTCGACTAAAACTTCAAAATTCAACCATTTTCGTAAGTCGTATAAATCCTGCAACAGCTGGCAGAATTCACACAGAAAATGTGTTTGTGAGACATGAAAACGAACAAAAAAACAAAAAAAAAATCACTCACTTCTGTTCAGGTATTCTGGCCAGGCTCTTCATGAAAAAAGACACTCTCCCAAAAACAATGCAACTTGGCCGAAACCACACAAGCCCTACAAGCCAATCGAAGCATTTCGAACTGCCAAATGCCAGTGCCCAACCAAACAGAAGCGGCGAAAAATCTTCCGCAGCACAAAAGTAATGTTCTTAAAGCTCTCTTCTGGAAACGGTGATTCAATTTTCAGTGCTCTTTGGGCCTTGTCTTTTTATTGTGGAACTTGGCGAATGTGGTTTGAACAAGATTTGTGCTTAGTTTCCATGACGTGAAGTTCACGGTATCTAGTCAAAGTTAGGGAGGGCCACAACAGATTAGCACTAAAGCTGAAGGTCAAAGTTTAGTAAATTAGTCGGGAGACGTTCTAACGATGTTATAAGGCTGTGAAAGACATTGAAATTTTTGGATTTAATTAGCAACTCGCGCTCTTCATTACTGCAGCGACTGGTTGTGGTTATCACGACTTTTTTCTATAAATCCCAGCTATAACCCCCCTGAGAGATGTTGTTGTGGAATGTCAGGCTTAGTGTGTTCTGTTGAGGGTTGTTGACATTAGAGCTAACATTTTCAAATATTGGAGTAAGATGGAATAACTGTCAGATGTCGAAATGAGGCTTAAATCATTATGTTGCGACAATAATTCAGAGAACGTTTCATTTCATCAAAGGACAAAAGTCCTCTTTTGCTGATATTCATGGGCTTGCTACTCCACTACCTTATATACAATTTCACTCTGTCACCTTTATCATGTTTACACTATAATGAAATAATTTGCATGATTTTCATTCCATTTCTCTCTAGGTTCTATGCATATATATATATATATATATATATTTGTTTGCTTATTTGCACATGCATATGTGTATGTGTGTTCCTTAAATTTATTTTCCGAGGCTTTTTTTTGGTGAATTCTATTCTGGAATAGATATGTTTTCTGCAAAGGAAATGCTCGTATATTTTTATAATTTTACTTTAGAAGTTTTCCTTCTTATGGCGATTATTATGATATCAGTCTGGTCACTAAATCACTCGAAAATTTTCATTTCAGTTATTTTTAGCACTTTATTTACTAGTTTTCATTCGTCAGCTTATGAACTAACAGTATGTTGCACCCTCTCTACACTTCCCCTTGTTCGTTCTGCTTCATGCTTTGTGGAATTTTACTTTACATTTCGAAAATATTTCATATATTCTTCACGTCTTTGATCTTCGGTTGTGTTTCATGCCAAATTCCGATGGACTTTTTTATCCCTCATAAATATTCCATTCAATTCTCAGTTTTTTCTTGCTGGAATTCCCTCTCACCTTCCCACTCTCTTTCCGTATGATTGATTTTTGTAGACATTCACTTGCTTTTAAAATCTCATTTGATAGCTTCGAATAAACATTACAGTTGGTTAAAGATTTGAGCATTACATGTTCCTGATAATGCTACATTTTGGTTCCTTGAAAATTCAGAAAAACATGTTACTTTTCTTTCCTTCCTTGTGTCTTTTTCTGCTTTCGCTCTCTTCTTGGTGATTTTTTTTAGAATTTCAAATAAACACCACCTATTCTTGAAGTGTAGTACTTGGTTTTTATGTACAAAATACGAGACCTTCGAATATCGTCAGTTGTAGTTGTGATTTATGGCACTGTCATACTAGTACACATTTGCGAACTTCTGAAAGAACCTTGATTTTCAGATATTTATTTTTGTTCTAAAATTCCAGAGAGTTTTACTATCGGTTTTATATGTCCACTTTTGAGTTTTCGAAATATGCGAATTTTATTGAAGAATGACTCAATTTTAAAATGGGAGGGAATGACAAAGTTCAAAATAATATATGTACATATAATTGAAATTGACAAGCAAAATATGTGAAAAGTTGACATAGTCTTTTGCAGGAAATGCTTACACCATGAGAACGAGTTTTATCAAAGCTGGATAAAAACGAGCGACCAATACTTGTCGAATAATTTCAATCTTTTGGATCCACCAGAATATTTGTCATGCTTGACGGTTTGTAAAAATATTAATAATAAAATCAAACGGAAAAGGAGACCAAGAAAGACGATAAATGAGTGTGGTCGAACGTCAACTCCAGTTCAGCGGGGTTCCGATTCGGCATTTTCTCTCTCCCCTGTAATTACCGAAATTTCAAATGGCTTTGATAGTAGCCTATCTGGTGACATCTCACTCGAAGAACCGATCGTAATGAATCGAAGTCATACTTATGTCAATGTGTTAAATAGCGAAATTACGCAATTTGAGGACATCACACAAGTTGAAAAGATTTTGGCGACAGCGTTAAGTATTACTAATGTTTGAATTATATCTCTATTTCCATAACAGAGTTGTATTTTTTAGAAGTCTTCTATTGGAAACTAAATGAGCGAACATTGTTATAGTACTAGTAATTCAAAAGGAATCATGCTTAAAGGCTTACAGACTGTTCCAACACTTTAAACACTTTATCGTTTTTCTTTTCTTTTTTTTTTGCACAGATTTTATGATATTTTGAAAGCATTTAGCAGCATGATTTTTTTTCTTGATGTGTTGATACATTTGTTGTTTCAGCGATGAAGACTTCCATTTTACGTGAGCATAATTCCACCTTTTACTTAGGGTATGTGAAATTTTTTCCTGAGATTTCTGCTTTTTTCATAGTTGTTTGTTGGGTTTCAACTGGATGAATGAGACTTATGATTTAAAAAAGGCCGAACTCGGTATTTAGAATTCTAAGTTGAAATTGACGGGTGATACCAAATTTATTATAATATTCAAATTCCTGAACTGGATTCTTTTTTGATGAATTACTTCAATTAAGCAAACTAATTTTTGATTGTATGTAATTGCAGCACTTAGTCAATAATTTAAAAGATACTTAGGCATCAGAACGTAACATCAGAACACTTTTTTTTTTGTTGCAGTCTGATTGCACACCAGTAGTCTATATTTCGGAAAAGAATTTAAGATCATTCTGTTTCAGTCTGTTAATTGGGCTCTCGAGCTTCTGTCCTTTTTTCTGATCTCCACATACTAAATTGTGATAAAGTTGTCCCTGTTTAGTTTGGAGTTTCCGGGAATAAAAGCTCTTTATAGATGAAACGATTTCTGATGTCAAAACATTTATGCCAAAAACCTTTGCATACCGACATTTTTGAAGTTGTAATACTCTGTGTAAGTCAAATAAAGGTGTGATACGCTGTACAAGTTAAAATAAAGAAACCACTAAATTAATTAGTACAACGCATGCTATTTTAAACCTTGTCACTCCCTCACATTTTAAAATCTTACTAGAATAACTTTAATTTTTTTACTTTTATGAGAAGTTTTCGGTCTCCAGTTTTTCTTGTTTCTGGAGCGTCAGATACGATTAATTTGTGTGCGCTGTTATAATTCGCTGCTCGAACTTTGCTACCAGGTTCGAATTAATCCCTTATTTTCCTGTCAACAATTCTGCATAATTTCCCGTATTCTTTTAATGATTTTAATATCGTGACTACAACAAAACATGACCTATTTCGAAATTTGTGAGATACGTAGGTAGGGTAATTCGAATGATATTTGCAAATTGCTAATTCATCATAAAGTACTTTACATTAATCCACACAACTCCTATCCCGTTTTTAGCCGATCATTTCGAGTATTTTAGCAGATCGGTATGAGTTCAACTTGTAGTTACAGAGTTTATTTGTGCTGAGGTCAGGTTGGAAGATACATTAGAAGATTAACTGGATGAAGTAAGGAAGAAGATTAATTAGATGAAGAAGTCTTGAAATCTTCTATCCCATTGTGGCTCTTTATCTCCAATTGGATGAAGAGGCTGTGGATTGTTTAAGACTTAAACGACATCTAGGTTTTGATGAAGAAAAAAACGTCAGAACTTCCTGTCGTCTGAACACCGCGCCACTTGATTATTTCTTCAGTTTGCATTTTCTGAAGTCCATAAATCCAATTCGTACTCTTACCTTTCCAGTTGTAGTTTCATTTGAAGCATACGTATGATGCTTTTGTATTCATCGTGTAACGACACGTCGTTTAGGTAAAAATTCTCAATGTAAACAGATTGTTTTTGGTTTGGAGCTAATTTTATTGCTATTTTACTTATGGCTGATAAACAGACCAGTACTGCAGCATTGCAGTTACCAGCATCGTACGAATGGTATCGCGAGCAAATTGCTGGACATCACCCGTCTGTGGTTAAGAACGGCGAGCATCAAATTGGTTCGTCTCTTATTTCCTCAGATTGTGATGAAATTTCGTTGTCCGTACAAAAATTATAGGATTTTCATTAAAATAATTTCCAGAATAAACACTGATTTTAGCATAAATTTCGGTTTGGTGTACAGGATTTGCTTTTAGGACTCATAAAGGAGATTGGTAGTGAAACACTGTTAAAACCTGTGCAGGAAGGTGTACGAGGAGTATGTGAGGTTTGTTTATTCTAATTCGAAAAAGTGATTGAAAGATTACATTCAGGGCAGGAGTAATCCCTGTTTACGATCGTTTTGATATATTACTAGATTTTGCTGCTCTGACAAGTCTTTGTATCATTTGTTTACAAGTGATACCTGATATTTTCCTGCATCCACAAACTGGAAACATCCAAATTCTAACTTCTATTTGCTTCGCTTAAAGCAGCAGGTAGACAAACAAACATATGTGTCGTTTTCCTAGATATGAAATCTGTAATCTATCTGTCATGCGGTAAATGAACGTTTAGTAAATAAATTAATTTGATTACTTTAACAGTTTCAGGTAGCATTCTATAATAATTTGAAGCATCAGAATGATGACGGTGATGTTTTAACGAAATTTTCCATATTTGTTCCGAAATTCTATGGGTTAAAAACTCTGCGCATTGGAGGAAAAGGTGATTGGTTAGTCTGGAAAAAATTTTTTTTAGGTTGGGGGAAATACAAGGTATTTTTTTTAGCTGTTCTGATAGTAAGGTTATAAATTTCTCTCTGTAATACTGGTATATTTCAGACATGAAACCTCAGGATAAAATGATCACATGAAGTTCTCCTTTTATTAATTGGCAAGGGAACGGAATGATTAAAAAAAAGTAACGGGAGCAGAAACTCTCAGGATGAGGAAATTAGGGAGAGAAAGTTTACCTACTTATAGATCTCTCAACATTAATCCGTCAAGTATATATATATAGATATATTCGAAATTTGAGAAGTGGAATTTATCGTTATGGAGGATTTAACGCATCGTTATAAATGTCCGTGCATTATGGATATCAAAATGGGCAGAGTGACCTATGATCCTAGTGCAACAAAAGCGAAAAGATTATCCGAAGCGGTGAAGTATCCTGAGCAAGAAACACTTGGCTTCCGTTTAACCGGTTATCGGGTATAATTTGTGTGATGGTTCATTTTTCATTAATGCGAACATTTCAGTGCTTCTCAATACCTGTTTTTGAATTACAAAAGAAATACAAAAATTTCATTATTTGGGAACCTATTTAATTGGTACAGCTGCTCTTTGCCAGGAAAAATATGGATAGTTTACAATCTGCATTGGCCAGCTAATCGCATTCAAATTGTTCGCATTATTTTTCATGAAAATTTTGATTATCGAAAAGCTCCACAAAAAAAGGAAAAAAAGAAAACAGGGTTTTCGAAATTAATATCAAACAAGAAATTTCCCTGGAATTTCAAACTTCTACTACTAATTACTGTCTAATAAATAGTCATGTGTTTGTTATTCATTGATTGTTTAGTAAGTAAAACATTGTTTCGTTAAAGAAATTCATGTTTACGCATATTTTTTCTTGAGATGCGTTTTGGTTGCAACGAAAATGATTTGCGAGTTCGTGATAAACAATGGGGGAGATCCAGGAATTTGGGAAATATCGTTGACGGTTTGTTCCTTCGTAAACATTCTAAGTTCACTTTTTTTTTGTGGAAGTTAGCAAAAATAATTTAAGATGCTACGCCTTTTTTTTGTAGCCAGTTGAAAGGAAATCTTTAATCACTCGGTATGCTTAAAAATTTACTGGCGATTTAAAATATGGGCAAATTTCTTCAAGTTTTTAAATCTTTTCAACAACAATAGCACATCAAGGTTTGTCTTAATTTTGCAGTTGTTTTATTCTGAAAAAAGAATTTTTAAGCATAGTGAGTGAAAGTTTGCAACTAGAAGATGGATGCACAGTAACTGGGGCGAGATAGTATAGGAGCGGATGTGGCAGATGCCGCGGAATTTGTGCCTATTGAACTTTTTGATTGGTGTCTATTAAGGAGGTTCAATTTAAGTGTACTTGAGGAAATGAATGTAGAAAAGTTCAGTTTGGCATACTGTGGTTAAAAACCATTTGGTCATTGTTCAATAATAGCTTCCGTGAGAGAGCTCATCCGAACCCACTCTTTCCCTGTTATTCTCTCCCGAGTATCAATTGCATCATAAATCGCGCAATCGATACTTTGCATTTTCATCTGCTTTGCCGAAGAAGTCTGGTTTATTTGATAAGAGAACTGTAAAGATGATCGTGTCAATAAATAATTTCTTTCTTACTAAGCCAATATCACCTGGTGGATATTTCAAGGGAATTTGCACAATCCTAAAAACTTCACATGTTTGTTTGTTGCTAATTACATGTCCCTGTAATCAGTTAGTCAATTCACTGGAACACTTATCAAACTATTCGAAGCAGAAGGTTTTTGTTTATGTACACCTCTAGAGGTTTTCAAAGAAACTACACAAATGGATCGAGTGCGTTCGAAATTTTTTGATCATGTAGTATAGACAAATTTTACAGCATTTCGTGAGTTTTTATCTGGAAGATTTATGGAAAAAAGTTTCGTGGTTGAACAGACATTGGAGCAGTTATATATGCTTCGGAAGTGGTTCAATTCACAACGGGTATTTTATTCGGTGTTCCGAAATTTTTAGAAATCCACCTAAAAATAAGCATTCAGTTTTCATTCAAGAATGATAAAATATTTAGCAGCATATATCAGGATATAATAAGTTATGACTATTTCAGATTTATCATTTCTATGCTTCATCTATTTTGCTCGGTTATGAAGCATGTGTGGAACAACCACCAAACGTTCTTGTTAAATTGATCGATTTCTCTCATGTCTTTCCTGCGAACGGTGCCGTAGATGACAATTATTTATTTGGTCTAAACAGTGTGATTAATATAATCGAGAAATACCGGGGTTCATTCAATTCTGGACCATGTAGAATAGTCTTGAATTCTGGAATGAATTAAAAGCTAGTACTTTTGAATTTAAGACTAGTTATGATGATGATGTTATTGTTTGTATCGTTGTTATTGTTTGTACAGTTCAGTAACCTTCAACTTTTATAAATTTTCGTTCTTTTGCATTGTTTGCAGTCCATTTCCTGGGATTTACTATCTTCGATATTCACTGAGCCCAACTAGTGAACTGAAATTAGTTGATGGGTGAAGAACTACATGACAAAATGCATAACTACTTTTATACACAAATACCGCAATATAATGAAGCATTTTTTGCATTGCTAACAGCACATCATCTCCTTGGTGCTAATAGAGCATTTCATATTAATTGAACTCAAAAAAAAACAATAAAAGGGAACTTAGGTCAGCACTGAACTACAATGGCATTTTACGAAACGCATTTTACGAAAATTTTACATTTTACGAAAATTCATGTAATATGTAAATATGATTTATGAGTGAGAAGCTGAACCTGAGGAGATTTCGAAATTTTTGTTTTGTACTTCAATTTTTCTAATATTGAGTTTGGATGATTATGCTATCAGTCTCAATTTGAGGTATGAATATCCATACGCTTTGAAGCGATGCAAACTTAATGCAGTTGGCCACAATAACTTAGTCTAATACTTGGCTTTTTTCTTTTTTTTTTTTCTCATCGTGCCGTTAACGAAGAAAAGTTTGTTTTTGCTACAAAAGTAAGTTGGCGTTAATATGGTATGTGGTGAAATGGCTGTGTTCAGATAGCGTATGGAAATTGGTTTCTGTGGAAAGCAAAGGACAGGAAGATGGAGGAATGAGTGCCGTGCTAAATTCATGGAAGTAACCATTTTGAGCTGACTCCGTCATGCTGGTTGATTACTGAGCGTTAAACGGTCAGTTAAGAAAGTATTCATTTCTCTTTAATATTCCTTTTTTGTTATGAATTTTTCGCTTGGCACTAAGGTATTTTTCATTAAAAAAGTTTTTGAAGCGGCATTTTATTGAAACAGTTGGATCATTCAGGGAGTAACCCAGAAGGCATCTGTTTTGTAATTTGAAATCCGAACACTTTAATTGCAGAGTACACAAATTAAAATATGGAATGCATGGCTAGTTTTTGGTCTCGCTCTTTTGTGACTTGGTATGGTCGTGGAAGGCCCATGATTACGGGGTTTGATTGCAGAGTGAAAATTTGGGCAAAAGGTTCGAGAGCCAAGCTTGCTTGTTGCCACCTATGGAGCTTATTACATTTCTCCACTGTCTGCTCAACAAGTTTTCAAAAACATTTTCCGGACTTATAAAATTATGAGCGATAGTGCAGTCGGAAAAAAAAGTATGACATTTGGACTTGATGGACTTCTGGTATTTATTTACTAAAATCTTCCAAGTTTAACTAAAATCCTCGCTTCAAATTCTGCTCGGAATGTCTGATTAGTTCGGAATATTATTTAGCTGCAATGCAGCGAACTGACGTTGAAAATAAGTCTTGCAATCAGTAGCTTTGAGACGACTAGCTAGAATTTTATAGCTGAAGTTTTTTTGATGTTTTTGAGGGTGTTGTTGTAGATGGTTGTGGGTTCAAGTTGTGCATCGTGGTTCGGGTAGGAAATTTGGGTTTGTAGGGCTGATGAATTTAGCTCAAATGCAGGCTATTTTTTTGACAGTCAACTCTCGAAAAGCACAGTTTGCTAAAATTCAACTTCATTTTCGCCGGTTTTTGATTTGGTAGCATTCCTCATTATGCTTTCATTTTTGGTTATTACTGGTGCTGTTTCGTACCAAAGGTTCCATTTTAGGATCCACAACAGTGGCAGGAACAGTGGTACCAGTCACAAATAACTGGGACAGAATATTCTGTTCCATTTTTTTAATGGGAAATACAGAAGCAAACGAAAGAGAAATGGATAACCCAGACGCAGAAGAGTGTAAGGGAGTATCGTTTGTAAGTCATTTGTCTTGTTTTGTAATATGTCGGTTTCTGTAAGCTGTGAAAACCTATTATAAAGTTTCTAATTTTTCAAATCTGGCTTCCTTTGCGTGAATTTGACTTCTTTTTCCCTTACCCCTACAGCACCTTTAGTCTAGAACACCGTCTTTGAAGATTCAAATCGCTTTTGGAACACACTCGAATATGCAGCTTTCGAGACTACGGATATTAGCTTTCAAATTTTTTGGTCCATTCCACTTATTGAGTTTTTGGTGGTGTTAACGTTCTGGCATTAACTGATTAACGTGTTTATTGTTTTCTCCACTTAAAACTTCCTACAATATGGCTCATCATACTCAATATCATTGCCTCATTATTGTAGTAACACCGCACTATAGTGTGATTTCTAGAGCACTAAATAGTGTAAAAGATCGATTGAGATTTCGTGACAGAAGCGAGAAATTTTTCAGAGGATAATTTGAAAATTCAGACTTGGAGTTCTTTGTCTGAATGTTATCACATGCTGTCGTATTACAGGGGCAGTTTTTCAGGCGTCAAAAACAACTACTGCGAATCCTTCACAAACTCTGATGCCCATCCATACTCACTCGGTTACTAACGATTATAGGATTAGTCGGCAGGTATTTCTTTTTCGGTTATCTTTTGTATCCGGAGACGAAAGCATTTAAAATGTTGAGCATCTCAGCAATGCTCAACGTAGAAACAGACGACGATGAAAATCTAAAAGTTGTGCCATCGAACGGAACTGATAATTCGCAAAAAGGCTAGGTATAATAGCCCAATATTGAATAGTGCAAATTTGCATTGGCATGTGGTTCATTTTGAATCTTAGTAAAGTAAACTAATAGTACGCAATATTTAAGCTCTCTTTCTGTTTTTGCAAACGAGTAATAATTCTCAACTTCCTTGTTGCCAGTGTTTCTTTACCGGACCGCTTTGTGAAATTGATTGTTATTTCAAACTTCATTTTTCTAAATTCATTTTTAGGTACTTGGTGTGGGCATCAATGGGAAAGTGGTGGAATGCGAAAGTAGAAAAACGGGCGAAAAATTTGCTTTAAAGGTTCGTTCACTAATTTCTAGACTTTGTTTGGATAGAAATGTTAATAACCAATCTTTAGGTTTTACGCGATGTGCCAAAGGCTCGTCGAGAAGTAGAACTTCACTATGCTGCTAGTCATCACAAAAACATCGTCCGTATATTTGATGTTTATGAAAATACCTACAATCAAGTGAAATGTTTACTTGTCGTAATGGAATGTATGCAAGGTTTGTGTTTTAATTAGAATGCAAACTGCAAGCTGCAATGAAATATTGCATATGTATTGCAATGCGTTTAATGAAGATTGAAGATGAAGATGATAATTCAGAGACGTGTACGAAATTACTGCTAACTGTAGGTTTTTCCAGTTGAACGGGGGAAAATTTATGTTTCAGGAGGTGAACTCTTCACTCGAATACATCAGAGAGCACAATCAGCTTTCACCGAGCGTGAGGCTGCGCAAGTAATGTCTGAAATCTGTTCGGCAGTTGCACATTTGCACTCACTGAATATCGCACATAGAGACATAAAACCGGAAAATTTACTTTATAGGTATTTCCTCATAATTTCACTTGATCAGATTCTCGTGTTGCGCATACTGGCTTTATCATGTCCGCGTATTTAATGGAATTTATTTTTTGTTTCAGCTGTGATGGACCGTCCGGTATTTTGAAACTAACCGATTTTGGTTTTGCAAAACACTTGGATTCTGTAGATACCAGGCCATTAGAAACACCTTGTTATACGCCCTATTATGCAGCACCAGAGGTAATAAATTTTCAAATTTTCGATTCACTGGAACTTTATGACCACTTAGATAAAGATTTGATGGCACTGATTATTATCGGAATACAGCGTTTCGTAGCTGTGCATCCACTTTCAAATGGCAACTTGCCGAATAGGTCGTTGTTAGTCCAAATGGTCAGAGAGTACATGCGTAATCTTTGGAATGCTAGAAGTTCTGATCTGGCAATGTAAAAGCTCGTGCATACCTTGAATTAGACTTGACCACAATTATTGTTGTTTCATTTCTTTAATAGAATGTTAGCACTCGGAAAAGTTGCGTTTCAGGTTCTCGGTCCTGAAAAGTATGATAAATCATGCGATATGTGGTCCATAGGCGTTATCATGTATATTCTGTAAGTTTTTAAACGGAATTTTTCTCTTAAGGTGATTCCAGTGTTGTGAGTTCCTCACTATGTTTTTTGGTCCTAATTTGCTCATTTTTACAGGTTATGTGGTTTTCCACCATTTTTTTCTGCAAATGGTTTACCTATGTCTCCAGGCATGAAAAATCGGATCAGAACTGGCAAATATGCTTTTCCTTCGCCAGAATGGGATCGGGTTTCCGAAGCAGGTCAGTGCTTGCCAAAGCTTAGTTGTCATAGGGGATTTTTTTTTAAATTGCTTATTGGATTATCCGTGTACTTCAATGTTTGTATCAAATGATTAGATAGTCAATAGAAAGAATTTTTAGCAAAAGATTTGATCAGAAAGTTATTGCGTACTGATCCGAGTGAACGTTTCACAATTGAACAGACGATGAGCCATAAATGGATCATCCATTATCAGAAGGTTCCAGAAACTCCTCTTTTTACTGCCTCAGTACTTGAGGAAGAAAAGTCTCAATGGGTAGAAATGCAAGTTAGTTTCTATTCTTTCTCATCGTAAAGATCTAATATTTTCACTTCTCAGTTGTCTTAATGTTGTGGACATTCTGATCGTTAAGAAAACGGAAGTGAGTCATATTTACTTGATGAAAATAAAAATTAGTTGATGGAAATGAATTCAGGATGAAATGGAAATGACTCTAGCTACGATGCGTGTTGGCAATGAAGATATCCATATTAAAAGTTTAAAAGATTCAAATAACCGTTTATTGAACAAACGCCGTAACAAAATAAACAAACGATAAAAAAGAATAGTCTATAATTATGTGAGTCATCTGTTTTTATTGTTTGCCTCTTTCAAGTGTGTTATCCTCAAAGTAGTAGTGTGAATTCCATATTTTTATTGAACTGGTAAATATTCCCATTGTAAGTGTAATGTATTTGTTTTTTAATAGTTTATTGTAGACCCGATTTTGAGCCTTTTTATTTGATGCTGTTTATAACTAGCTGTTCTTGTAAGGTTGTGAAAAGTGCCTTAAGGAGAATTCCCTTGATGTGAAAAAACAGAAATATATATATATATATATATATATATATATATATATATATATATAT